TGACATAGGAATAAAGAAAAGAATATATAAGAAATTAAAGGGAGGGGAGGAGCAGCTCAGAAATAGGTATAATGAACTATCTAGGAATGTTTAGACAAATGTAAGGAAAGCAAAGAGAGACTATGAAATCAAAATAGCAAGAGAATCCAAGGCGAATCCCAAGGGATTTTTTCAGGTACATAGGAGAAAGGTCAAGGACAAAGTTGGGCCTTTAAAGTCAGGGAGGGGAGAAGTGATCAATGGCAGTGAAGAAATAAGCAAGGCATTGAACATCTACTTCTTATCAGTTTTCACAGAAGAAATTTGCTATGAAATTCCAGAGGTGGAACTGATATTTAAGGGAAAGGAAGAAGAGAAATTAAAGAATATCACTATCAGAAAAGAGGATGTTCTTAAGAAGATAAATAAACTAAAGAAAACAAAATTCCCTAGGGCCGGATGAAATTTTCCCTCTAGTCTTGAAAGAGTGTAGGGAACAGATTAGCGGACCCCTCGTAAACTTATTTACAAAATCATTAGACACCGGAGTTGTGCCACACTTGTGGAAACAGGCAAATGTAGTACCCATATTCAAAAAGGGAGACAGAGCATCAGCGTCAAATTACCGGCCGATCAGTTTGGAGTCAGTAGTGGGGAAATTTCTTGAATCAATTATAGCAGATAGCATCCGATCGCATCTAGAGAAAAGCAAATTAATCTATGACTCTCAACATGGGTTTGCAAAGGGAAAATCTTGTCTAACAAATCTGCTGACGTTTTTTAGGAAAGTCTTCGAGGTAGTAGATAATGACGAAAATTATGATGTTATTTACTTAGACTTTAGCAAAGCATTTGACAGAGTACCGCATCAGAGGCTTCTGAGAAAAATTAAGGCTCATGGTATCGAGGGGAAACTTTTAAATTGGATAAAATCATGGCTCACCGATAGAACGCAGAGGGTCAGCGTAGATGGTGTTAATTCTGGGTGAAGTCGTGTAACCAGTGGGGTTCCCCGGGGGTCAGTACTAGGCCCACTCTTGTTCATAATCTACATAAACGATCTAGATACTGGAATCAGCAGTGACATAAGCAAGTTTGCGGATGACACCAAAATCGGGCGGCAGATTAATTCAGGGCAGGATGCAAATGCATTACAGGAGGATCTAAATATACTGCAGGGATGGTCTGAAAACTGGCAAATGAAATTCAACACCAGCAAGTGCAGCGTACTTAATATTGGAAGAACAAATATTGATAATGTATACAGCCTTAACAACATCAACCTAGAGAAGTTGACTTGTGAAAGAGACCTAGGGGTACTTGTAAGCCCGAACCTATGGCCTAGAAAACAGTGCGTTAATGTTCGAAATAAGGCAAACAGAGTATGGGTTTTATATCTAGAAGTGTAAGTAACAAGAGTGTAGAGGTCTTATTGCAACTATATCTTGCGCTAGTCAGACCGCACCTCGATTATGCGGTTCAGTTCTGGTGCCCCTATTATAGAATGGATATAAATTCACTCGAGTCGGTGCAGCGAAGAATGACAAACATGATTCCGGGACTTCGATTCCTTCCATATCAGGATAGGTTAAAGAAACTTAACTTGCATTCCCTAGAAAGACGAAGAGGGCGGGGAGATATGATAGAAGTATTTAAGTGGATGAAAGGAATCAATACAGTGGATATAGATAAAGTTCTTATAATATCCGATCAGGATAGGACTCGGAGCAACGGATTTAATTTGGATAATTTTAGGTTTAGGAGGGAGATATGAAGAAACTGGTTCACAAATAGGGTGGTGGACGAGTGGAACAAGCTTAGCAACTTTGTAGTAAGTGCGGGAACTCTGGAAAGTTTCAAAAGGAGGCTAGATAGATTCATGGTTCATAGAGAGTGGTAGTAACTCTCGACAGGAGCTGCCATGCACAGGCCAACCGGCCTATTGCAGGCTCCTTATTTTCTTATGTTCTTATGTTCTTATGGGTTTACAAAGGGAAAATCTTGTCTAACAAATATGCTGACGTTTTTTAGGAAAGTCTTCGAGGTAGTAGATAATGACGATAATTACGATGTTATTTACTTAGACTTTAGCAAAGCATTTGACAGAGTACCGCATCAGAGGCTTCTGAGAAAAATTAAGGCTCATGGTATCGAGGGGAAAGGTTTAAATTGGATAAAATCATGGATCACCGATAGAAAGCAGAGGGTCAGCGTAGATGGTGTTAAATCTGAGTGAGGCTGTGTAACCAGTGGGGTTCCCCAGGGGTCAGTACTAGGCCCACTCTTGTTTATAATCTACATAAACGATCTAGATACAGCGATCAGCAGTGACATAAGCAATTTTGCGCATGACATCAAAATAGGGCTGCAGATTAATTCAGGGCAGGATGCAAATGTATTACAGGAGGATCTGAATAAACTGCAGGGGTGGTCTGAAAAATGGCAAATAAAATTCAACACCAGCAAGTGCAGCGTACTTAATATTGGAAGAACAAATACTGGTAATGTATACATCCTTAACAACATCAACCTAGAGAAGTCGACTTGTGAAAGAGACCTAGGGGTACTTGTAAGCCCGGACCTACGGCCTAGAAAAAAGTGCGTTAATGTTCGAAATCAGGCAAACAGAGTATTGGGTTTTATATCTAGAAGTGTAAGTAACAAGAGAGCAGAGGTCATATTGCAACTATATCTTGCGCTAGTCAGGCCTCACCTCGATTATGCTGTTCAGTTCTGGTGCCTTTATTATAGAATGGATATCAATTCACTGGAGTCGGTGCAGCGAAGAATGGCAAAAATGATTCTGGGACTTAGAAACCTTCCATATCAGGATAGGTTAAAGAAACTTAACTTGCATTCCCTAGAAAGACGAAGAGTGCGGGGAGATATGATAGAAGTATTTAAGTGGGTGAAAGGAATCAATGAAGGGGATATAGATAAAGTTCTTATAATATCCGAGCAGGATAGGACTCGGAGCAACGGATTTAAGTTGGATAAGTTTAGGTTTAGGAGGGAGATAGGAAGAAATTGGTCCACAAATAGGGTGGTGGACGAGTGGAACAAGCTTAGCAACTTTGTAGTAAGTGCTGGAACTCTGGAGAGTTTAAAAAAGGAGGCTAGATAGATTCATGGATGATAGAGAGTGGTAGTAACTCTCGACAGGAGCTGTCATGCACAGGCCAACCGGCCTATTTCAGACTCCTTATTTTCTTATGTTCTTATGTTTTTTTCCTATGTTATTGCGTCATATCACGTACTTCCGACCACCTGGTGGGTTAGCCAAGTTGAGGTGAGTTGCCAGGTAGCCATTTTGTGTTATGCACATTTGTTGTTGCTTGTGTATGCATTTTTATACATGTATTTTTGCTCATATTGATTATCTATTGCACTCCCATCAATACTCTGACCCTCTTCCATTTAAAACCTTGCCTTTTAGTACATGTAAGCCATGTAAATTAAATAATGTTCATGTGGCATGCAGCCTGGGTCAAGGCTTACAGGCTGTCTTCTCTCTCTGTCTTTCTTGAGACTCTGGCCTGTAAACATGTCTGTCTCTGCCTTCTCTATCCTCTGTGTGAGCCATGCGACTTAGATTTGTCCTTCCTATCCTAGAGAATGTTAGGTGGGAGTCAGTGGTGCTTATGGTGAACTCCCAATTAGGTCGGGAGTGCATTTATATTATGGCTTATACCATTTATTTGTAAATATATGTAAATAAGGTAGATTTATCTAGGTGTTTCTGTTGGTCCTTTTCGTCCAGGATTTTATTCTTCAGCCATGACTGAGTATTTGCTACACCTAAAGAGTATTTCATGTAGTCTACCGTACTTAAAGCTAGCCATAGCAGTACAGTATATCACTGCTGTCCACCTCAGTGTCTATTGGGGTAAGCTTGGGAGAGACACTGGGGTTGTGATAAATTGGAGGCCTAGGTTTAGAAGTGAAACATTTTTGTCATCTTTATAAAACTAAATTATTTGTGCAGTTTCTTTCAAGTCTTATCCACCATGTCCTACTTCATTTAATTCATTACAGTAGACACTTGTTCCCCTAGACTAGTGGTCCCCAAACTGTAGTTTTGGTGCCCACAGAACCGTATTATGGAGTCCACAAGGGTTTATTAGCAAATTGTGAATTATTTGGGATTATTTGTAAGATAGAAATTAATGGAAATATGTAATAACTTGATACAACTGTCGTGTACAGGAAATACTTTTAACATTTACTGTTGGTACAAGACATGTGTATTTACCCCAGTGAGAATGCTGGCTCTCTCTATGGGCCTGGTCTGGGGTAAATACACACGTCCTGTCCAAGAGTAAATGTAAAAAGTATGTAACTGGTAACAGTTAGACATGTCAAACTACAAAAAACTGCAAGTATATATGAGATTTTTTTCTCGTGAATGTAGATCCAAATTTTTGGCACTCTCCACTATATTTACAATGATAAATGTGGCCCAGATCCGACAAAAGGATGGGGACCACTGCCCTAGACTAATTGCACTCAGTCTGTAAGGTTTTGTATATTTTGTTCACATGTAAGTTCGCTTCTAAGCTTCTTAGTCATTATTTTATATTTATCACGAATTTTGGTGACTGACTTGACCACACCACGCCCGGAATCAAGCTACCACCACACCGAATTTCAACAAGGTTTCCTCTATCATAAAGTGTGTCGCATGTGGATGACCCAGCACCTGTTGTGAGAATGATTGTATTGTTTCAATCGTGCCTTAAAAACTCTGGAGAGTGTAATGTATAGTACACTGCTGTGTTATGGTTGTCAGGGAACACATCTCTAAACATACGTTGCTGCTGTTCTTGTGTTTCTTCAAGTGTTATAGATGTAGTTGCTCACACCAAACTGTGGTTTAGTGTCTAGCTGTTGGTGTACGAGAGTAATTATCTCGCAGGCATAAATGAGAATGTTGTTTACTTTGTATCTTTTGGGGACATGATGTGTCCCCCACACAGTGGACTCAACCCATCATGATAATGTAGGCAAGATAAACAAGAATACATAGTAAGGAAATCCCTGAAGGCCTCCAGTCTTTATTGAAAAGCCATGCTCCACATTGTAAATATTTAGATGGACTTGGCGAAGCCTATGCGTTTCTGGCCGACGTCAAACTCAGTATACCAGTCAGCGATGAAGGGATCACCCAGGATCCAGGCCTCGAGCTCGCCCATCTGAAGTCCCATGATGCCCACGATGCAAATCTTGACTCCGGTGTTTGGGTCAATGTCCTGAAGACCATAAAAAGAAACAGAAAGAAATGAGTGAGATGAATGTGAGAGACAGATACATCTAGCCGAGGTAGTAAACAACATTTCTCTCCAAATCTTTTTAATGCTATGAATTATCTGACCTAGTTTGACCCCTTACTCTACAAGTGATGACCCCAGGAACCTTCCTTTGATTCGTAAAAATTATTTGGTAAACCCCTTTTATCCTGTGACCCCTGGTGTCCAAGTGACCTACCTCGATGACCAGGTCAGGTCCGTCTATGCTGAAGTCCTTGCCGTTGAGGGTGAACGTGAACTCTGGCATTTCGGGTACCTTGTGGCAGCTGATGAGGTATTCCCCTGCGATGAAGCCGTAGCCTCCCAGCATGTGTACGATCTCCTGGTGGAAGGAGTGTGGTGGTGAGTGAGGGAGTATAGTACTAAGAGAGAGAGTGGGGTGGTGAGTGAGAGAGTGTGGTGGTGGTAGTATGTGAGCGAGAAATTGTGGTAGTGGTAGTTTGTGAGCAAGAAATTGTGGTACTGGTGGTAACTCCGACATTCATTCATCTTTTTAACTAACCAACTTTAACACAGATGAGCTCTGACTGTGACACATAATGACATAAGGTATCGATTAACTGGAGAAATGAACACTGAAAATGTCAACATTGAGAAATAATGAGACTGTGGTGACGATATACGAGTACTGATAAATTATTATAGATGATACGAGGGTGATAGACTGTGGCTGTAGAGGGATAATGTGACCTCTGCTACATGTGGTCACGAAGGTCAAGTGTATTGATTGCGGTGATGACCTACTCAGCTCTAGAGGATATTGTGACCTCTGCTACACGAAATTACGAATGTTAAGGACTGACCTTGACCTCGGCGTTGGGTCCAGCGATGAGGGATGTGCCAGTGTCAACGATGGCTTCACAAGGGTTGCAGAAGCCGGTTACATTGTCTCCCACCTTAATCCTGTCAGAACACCTTAATTAATTTCCAAGAACAGGTGAATAAGTCTAGCACAGGATAATATGTTCATCACAAGATAACAAAGTCAATAGGAGTTACATAGGATCAAGAAGGTCAGTAGAAATTACTTACGCCTCAGCAGTGACCTGCCAGTAGCCGACTTTGGAGACAGGCACGTAGTGGAACTCTCCCTCGTAATGGTTGGGATCTGACCCGCCCAACACCAGCTCTCCTCCCAGTGTTTCGTTCATGTCGCTGACATCACTACAGTACACATTATTATCAGTGACGCACAAGAGTAATGAGTAGAAGTATTCTCCCTTTATATATCCCAACAACCAACACCATTATTCTCTTAAATATTACATAACGATAAAAATATAAAAACATTCTCCTTTTTTATGCTAAGTCTCTTTATTGTCAACTATGCTGTTTTTCTTATGTGTGTCTATAATTGGTATCTTTTGTTTACAAATATTGTTTGACGAGTGTGGTGTTAGGTTTTGTGCTATTATAGTGTTATTATAGTTTCTACAAGACAGCTTTGTCACCGTGTGTCTGCTCTACACCCTCTACAAGACTTCCTGGACCGGGTACAATAAAGCATCAGGAGTGTCTGGACTTTTGAAAAGTTCTCTTATTCCAAACGTTTGTCAGCTCCTGGACTCACTGGTTGAGGTAGAAGGAGAAGATGGGCTGGTCGACGGCGCCCTGGGCCACCATGGTGTCGAACACTGTAGGGATGCCCATGACCGAGATCTCTGTGAAGGCCATACCGAGGATGCCGTCGAACTTACCCATGATGAAGGCGAGACCAGGCTCCTGTGTGGCCTCAGCGAAGGTCTGGCCCATGGCATTCACGCCGCCCATCTCCACGTTGTCGCTGTAGGATTAGGTGTACAAAAAAAGATAATGAAGCAGAGCAACCTGACTGGGTCCTTCACTTTATAACCTTGATCTATACAAATTGATTGGATCAGGTGGTCGTTCTATGATAATATAACCGCTTAAGACAATATTTCACCAACAAATTGTATGGTAAGCTTGAACTAGATATTATTTAAGATATTCTGAAATGTTTTGGAACTTTTTCTTTGTTTAGTATTTGTAAAACTTTAAAGCAAAGGATTAAGTGTGGTAAATAGCTCACCTAGAGAGGAAGCCGTGAAGGGCACCAGAGCCATACTGTATGTCGAAGGCTGTGCCGTTCTCAATGTAGGTTGAAGACTTGGTAGAATCGTAGCGGTTATGAAGTCCTGTAAGAGATGTGTGGACAACATTTATCGCTTAAAAATCACTTTCAGAGGCCAACAGACAATTTCAGATAACATAGACAAAATTAATCTAACCGGTGGTGATTCTCAGCGGATTGGAAATTAAGGGACATACAGTAAATCACAGGTTAACTGTTTGTCTGCACATGATATAGAAGACGCGGATAAAAATTGCTTAGGAAATTGTTTTTGAGAAATCCATCTTTCGTAAAGCCGTGTTGTATATCCCCCGCTCTCCCTCTTTTCTTCCTTTCTCCTACAAACTCCTCCTCTCTTCCAGTCTCTCTCCTTCTCCCTCCTCCTCCTCGCTCTCTAATCTCTATCTTCCTCTATTATCCATCTCAGTGCATGTCTGAGGAAGCAGTAGGTACTCACGGCAGGCTAAGTTGAGGATGAAACACTTCTCTGAGGGAATCCACAGATTGGAGGACCCCGTATCGAAGATCACATCGAATCCCTGTCCAGGTGTCCCGATGGTGATGGGGCCGTAGTACTGAGCCTGTTAGGTAATAATGGAGGTGTGTTGTTAGGTAGCGGGGTCAGATGGTGGTTAAATTAGGTGAGGGGGGGGGGGAGGGGTCATATGGTAGTTGGGTTAGGTGAAGGTTAAGGAGTGGGTCAGGTGGTAGTTACTCGATGGTTAGGTTAGGTGAGGGTTAGGTAGTAGCATAGAGTTGTAGTATTGAACCTGTAAGAGGTGTGGGGGTTAGTTTGGGAATGGATGGTGGTTATGTGAGGTTAGTTTGAGGTAAGTGATGATGGAAGGCAGTAACGTAGTTGAGGATATTTTTTTCACTAGATGGATAGTTTTTATATTTCATCATCATCATAATCATCAGTAGTAATAGTTGTAGTGGCGAAGATGTGGTTATTGGGGAAGGCTGGAGGCCACGTTTAAAAAAAGTAATTGGACTAGTAGTAGTTACCGATAAGGGCAAATAGTTTCAGTCTCAATAAACAAGAATTTACAGATGCCATTGCTCTCAGGTACGGTAGGCCAGCAGAAAGTTTGCCCTCCCAATGCGTGTGTGGCTCTTCCTATGACGACGATCACGCCATGGTGTGCAAGAAAGGGGGCTTCATATGCATATTGCATAACGAAGTAAGGGATCTCACAGCAAATATGTTGAAGGAAATCTGTCGTGATGTCAGGGTAGAACCGACCCCCCTTCCATTGGACAGTGAGAATTTCCAACATAGGACTTCAAACACATCCAACGAAGCCCGTGTTGACGTCAGTGCTCGAGGATTCTGGACGCGGGGACAGCGAGCCTAAGCTCTCGATGCTGCGCACAGGAGGAACGAGAACGACAAGATAAGGGCATTTGGGGAGAGAATTCAGAACATTGATCAAGGCAGCTTCACTCCTCTGGTGTTCACAACCTCTGGTGGGATGGGGACCAAGTGCAAGATGCTTCTACGCCAGACTCGCGGGGGTGCTATCCGAACAGAAGCAGCAGCCCAGAAGTTATGTTACAGCCTGGATGTGAAGTCGACTGTCCTTCTCTCTCCTTAGGTCTGCTTTTCTCTGCCTCAGGGGAACGAGAGCATCGGCCCCAAAGCCGACAACAGTTGCAGATATTGACTATGAGGCAACAGTCACTGAATGCCACATAGATCTGCGGCTCAACTAACTCAACACAGCTAGGATAGCGACTTATGTATTAGGATATTTAATTTTAAGGTAATAAAATGGCGGCGAAGGTGTGGCTATTGGGGGAAGATGGAGGCCACGTTTTGAAAAACAAAAAGAAAGTAGTAGTAGTAGTAGTAGTAGTAGTAGTAGTAGTAGTAGAAGTAGTGGCTCTTCCTATGACATTGACCACGCCATGGTGTGCAAGAAAGGGGGCTTCGTATGCATGAGGCATGACGAAGTAAGGGATCTCACAGCAAATATGTTGTAAGGAAATCTGTCATGATGTCAAGGGAGAACCGACCCTTCTTCCGTTGGACGATGAGAATTTCCATCACAGAACTTCAAACACATCCAACGAAGTCCGTGTGGACGTCAGTGCTCGGGGATTCTGTACGCGGGGACGACGAGCCTTCTCTGACATAAGGATTTTCGATCCCATGGTCGCATGTCACCGTAACCTAGCTCTCGATGCTGCACACAGGAGGAACGAGAACGACAAGATCAGGGCATATGGGGAGAGAATTCTGAATGTTGATCTGGGCATCTTCACTCCTCTGGTGTTCACAATCTCTGGTGGGATGCACCAAGTGCAAGATGTGTCTATGACAGACTCGCGGAGGTGTTATCTCAATGGAAGCAGCAGCCCAGAAGTTAAGTTACAACCTGGTTGAGATGTCGACTGTCCTCTCTGCTTAGGTCTGCATTGCTCTGCCTCAGGGGAACGAGAGCATCGGCCCCAAAGCCGACAACAGTCGCAGATATTGACTATGAGGCAACAGTCACTGAATGCCGCATAGATCTGCGGTTCAACTAACTCAACACAGCTATAGTAGCTACTTTTGTATTAGGATATTTAATTTTAAGGTAATAAAATGGAGGCGAAGGTGTGACTATTGGGGAAGGCTGGAGGCTACTTCAAATAAAAAAAGTAGTAGTAGTAGTAGTAGTAAGAGTAATTATAATATGTGACGTCTAAGACCAAACATAAATATACCACCAGCCTGAAACATGAAGAGGAGATTATTTTTCCTGTTAGAGATGAAATACACGATAGACTAAACTGTATTAGATAGTAGAGACTCACCTGGGGTTTAATATTTCCATTAAGGTTTTTACTAAAAACAAACATTAAAGTCTAATAAGTTAAAAGACTTAAATATTCTCTGAGTTTTGTTGCGAGGGACATCACTACACGGAGACCTCAACTCAAGACTCACATCCTCGTAGTTGTCGAGATCGATTACATCGCTACCGACGCCGTAGCGATGGTTCAAGAAGACTCGGGTTCGGCGGAGATCCTGAAGTGTCCTCGACTTCTCGATTTTCTTCAGAGGAATTCTGAAAAAGACCGTAATTATTAGACTTCTGTTGGTCTTAGGCTTTTAGCTGTATTTCTCAGACATCAAGTTAAGACTGATTAGGAAGAATCCTTTAGTGATTTGTATACATTTTTTGTAAATAATAAGTGTGAGCATGTAGGTCACCTCAACCCAACCCAACTCAACCCAACCCAACCCAACCAAACCCAACCCAACCCAACCCAACCCAACCCCCAATCAATCAATCAAAGTACCGTCCTCATATCTGGAGACCCAGTTTTTAATTTCATTCATCCACCCGTCTCTGCCTTTCCCTGGCCCATTCTACCTTCAAGTTTTTCCATCTTATTTTTCTTTTTCTGTACATTTCAAGTATTTCTCTTGAAGATTATGCTAATCTTTGTTTTATTGTCTGTGTAGCTTATTCTTAGCATTCGCTTATAACACCACATTTCCAAAGCCTCCAACCTCTTTCTGTTATCTGCTGACCCGTACAACAGTCCATGCAATATATAGCCTTTCAGCAGCCTTTTTCTCAAATTGAAGTTAATGTCCCTTTTCATTAGGTCTTTTAGATTATAAAAATCTGTTTTTGCTTGCCCCATTCATTTCTTTTTATTTATTTCTTACATCTACCGTTAAAGCTAATGTTACTTTCCAAATACACAAAAATTTTCAGTTGTTTAAGCTCTCGTTTGCCTACTATAATATTTGTTTTGTTTTCAAGATTTATTTCCCATTTGGAAAAAAAATACTACTTTTGTCTTTACATCATGATCTCATAAACCTTATTTTTTTACCTTTTTCCACAAATCTGTTAGCGAGTTTTTGAAATGTCTCTTCACTATCCGTGATAAGAGCAGTATTATCTGCATAACGTATATTTGATATTATTTTACCATTAACTTTTAGTCCTTCATTATCACTTGCGACTTCTCTCATTAAGAATTCTGAATATATATTATACGATGTTGGAGATAGAACACAGCCTTGTCTTACTCTCTTTCTAACTGTGAACCAATTAGTAAATTCGTTATTTACTAACACTGAAGACTCCTAGTGCCAGTAATAATTCTTTGACATTCTAATATCTCCTTCATTAATGCCTATTTTTTCCAAGATCTCTATACGTTTATTGTGCTCTACCATAATTATAAAAAGCTTTTTCAAAATCAACAAAGTAGATAAACAAACCAAATACTGCATAGTTTCTCTAATTCCTTTTCCCTTTCTAAACCCTCTTTTGCTCATCAGATAACTCCCTTTATATTCTTTTTTTTTTACTTAAAATTATGTTTAATAAAACTTTGTGGGCATGACTTTTTCAGCTTATTGTTCTAAGGCGGGTACAATGTAAGGCTCCTGGCTTTTTACAAAAGGTAATAATAAAATATTGATTTTTGTTAAATAAATGGGAAGCTCTCCTTTGAAATATATAGAGTTACATATATTAGTCAAACATTTTATCTTATTCTTGACCATTTGTTTTATAAATTCTGCTGGAAGCATTTTCTCTTTATTTCATTATCGTGTCGTACCTTTACTGTATCCTTCTCATTGTTTAGTTCTTTCACGTACTTTTACGATCTCTTTTACTTCTGCTGTCCTAAACATGATCTCAATACGTTTGCTTTTTATAGCCCCACCCCATTTATTTATATTTTCTGGTCCATTTGTTTAATCTTTCTGTATATTTTCCTATAATTATGCCTTCTGTTATCATCTTCAATATCCTTGCATTTCCTTTCTAGTTCATCTTTCTTGGCAGGTCTGCACTCCCTTTGAATTGATTTTTTAGTTTTATGTAAGCCTCACTTCGTTTTCTCATATTTTTGTCTATCCGTTTGCTTTAAAATTTCATTTGTCATCTACTTACTTTTAGCCTCGTTCCTTGTATGACCTATAAGTTTTCCCCACGCTCTAACATTACTTCTTTGTAATTATTAAATTGTTGTCCTGGTCCTTGTTCATCAAAGTCACTCTCTAGCAATTCTGAAAATTTATTTACGGTTTTAATTTCATATTCTATCCCAGACCATTTTGAGTTTCCCTAAATCCCATTTGATGTTGTCCAAGGTTTTTATTTTTAATTGTTGAAGTCTTAGTCTCACTCAATCAACACATTACTGACGTGATCTGACCCCCAATCTGCCCTGGATAGGTCTTGGTTCGGGTTATTGAATTTAAGAATCTTTCCCGAATTTAAATGTAATCTATTTGATTGCTGTCTATGTTGCTTACGTTGTCCTGGGGTGAAACCCATGTCATGCCTAGGGTGTTGTTTAAACCATGTACTTGCAATTATCATGCTGTTTGCCTTTCAAAAGTCAATTAATATTTCTCCTCTCTCCTTTCTATTACCCAACCCATGTGGTCCTACTTCAGGTGCTACTTTCCTTTTCCCAAACTTTTGCGTTAAAATCACCCATTATAATTAGACATTCATTAAACTTTACGGTGTCTTTTGCTTTCTTTAAATCTTCATGATTTATTTTAAGACTTCATAAACCTTTATTATCACTAACCTTGGGCCACTGACAAATAAATTTGTGTAACATTTTATCATATTATATATCCCTTACTCTCTCTCTCTCCGTATCTCCCCTACATTGTATGTGTCTCTCTCTCACTCTGTCTCCTGTCTACCCCTGTTTACTGGTTTCTCCTTTTGCTTCGTAACGTAATTGCTTATCTCCGTCTGTTTCTCATATTTCTTCTTCCCTCTCTCCCTCTCCTTTACATTCCCCGTTTCTTCTACATTTCCCTTTGTTACCTTCTATTTTTATCTCTTCTCTCTGTTGGTAGCTCATTTCTTTCTCTTTTCGTCTTTTTCTCACTCTTGTTTTTTCTCGCTTTCTCCCCTCTTTGTATTTCTTCATCTGTGTTAAAATCTTCCTCTCTTTCTGTTTCCACTTCCTACACATCACTTTGTCTGTCGCTCACCTTCGCACTCTCTTCATTTTTTCTTCTCTCTAACTTTCTCCCCTTCTTTAATTTCCTCATTTATTCCCCTTTTCACCCTTCTCCATTAACCCTCTCTTAGTATTTCTCCCTTCTCCACAACTCATTTCTCCCTCCCTTCCTCCCCTCCCCTCCCCTCCGTCTCTCCCTCCTTTCTTCCTTAACTCCCAATCCCTACTTCCCTCCCTACTTCTCAACGCTTTTTCTTTACCTACCAATCCTTCCCTACCTCCTCCTCCTCCTCCTCCTCCTCCAGAACACATACCTGTGGAGCTCTGCGGCAGCGAGAGCCAACAGTAGCAGAAGAGCGGCAAGGGACCTCATGTTGTGTGGTGGTGCTGAGTGGCTGGCCAGGTCGTGACTTGACTTAAATGCTAGAGACACTGCCTTTTATACGCTTTTTAGACAGCTTTATCTCTCAACCGACGACCTTTCCTCCCAATCTCCTTACCCCCCCCACCCCCGTCAGCCTGCCCACAGTTGCCATGCTTCACCCGGCCTTTCTTTAATACATTCTCTCCTCCAATATTTCCTTTGTACCTCCTTTTATCATCTATTCTCCGTTTTTCTTTTCTTCTCTCCCTCGCTTCTTTCATTTCTCCCTCAATCTCTCGCTCCCTCCCCCTTTACCCCCTCCCCCATTTCCCCCTGCCCACTTCATCTGCTAGTTCCCACACTATTATGTTATCACTCCTGCTCCAAACGACCCCACTACCATCCATCTCTCTCTCTCTCTCTCTCTCTCTCTTTCGTTTCGTTTCGTTAAGAAGTCATTCTAGACACTCAGCTGATGTTTGATCAGAAATTTTGCTGAAACTATGCGTGGATTAGAGGCGCATTCAACTGGTTAGTAGAGTTGGTGTGCCGTGGGTCGAGTTTGGTCGAGTCTGCCGTTCAATAAGTTAAGAGTTTTTTGTAAGTTTTATTCCTGGTGCTTCAACGGCCAGAGGTCTTTGAGCACATCGTTCTCCAGATCTTTCTTAAGTTTGTGTGTCATTTATGTCAAGGAGCAGAACATAAGATATTTCTTAACAATTGAGCAATGTTGACATGTTTTCACAAATATAACTTTTAGACATTTTGTTCTTATTGATTTTTGTTTATCTTCATATTCTTGTTCTTCTTGCTATTTTTACATTTATTATTATCATTAGTGTTGGTATAATTTTACTCCTATTTTATTATTAGTCTTATAAATATTTATTTTGCTATTACCATTAGCATTGTTTACTATTATTGTTATTTTGTAATTTTTTTTTACTACATTTCTTGGAATCCCGAGTCGTATCGCTGGTAATGTCCTTCATATACAGGAGTGTTCTTCTTACCTGTTCTAATTAAGAACTAGAACTAGGAGAAACTCGTACCTCGCGGGAAGGATGACGCAATACGTGCAGGAGAACCCAGCATAGAAAAAACCCACATCATATATAATGAGGAAAAGTATGACCATAGAAATATATTTAAATATAAATCACATACCCGTGACACCAGCCACACCCACTATGGCATTATGCTTCATCAGTGTTATTTGTATTTGAAAGCCAATCACTGGCTACCTCCTTCATTTGGCAGGTGAGCCTTGGTGTGGCTACTTGGTGGTTAGTATCCTCTCAGAACCATGGGTCCATTGTGTGTGTATAGGGCCTTGCAAGTATATAGGGGGTTTCCAGGTAATACAGTGGTATAATTATCATTACCTAATGTGCACTGCACACGGCTTCAAGTGCTGGGATGACCCTAGAGTACAGTACAATATCTTTACTAGCTATAGAACAGCTATTATACAGTAACAACAGCAGCACTCAGTAACACGTGTGGTGTTAGCTAGCGGGGATTATCTTACTCACGGGTGACATCATATATCTCCAGCGGTGTCCGCCATTAGTAGCACTGGTCACACGAATGGGTGCAGCACCTGTTACATAAACGGTGGTGGCAGCGATAAGGAATCCATTAACGACCGGTGGCACACAAACAACCACCCAACTACCCAAAAATTTGGTGAAAAAATGGCTTCTCTATTTCATCTACATTACCCTTATGGTAAGGGTCAGATTCTAGAACATTCGAGAAGCACTGAGTCACCCAGTCATAAGTTATGATGTCTACACACGTCAGCAGCAGTGAGTTAACGACCAGTATGTATTGGTTATTAGTTGGAAAATGTTTTGTCAACAACACGGCCAGCCCTCTCCTCACTCACTCAGTGATGAGTCAACCCTACTCATAGAGATTAGACTCACCTGAGGACTCATCAGCACCTCTACTCACACTCACTCAATCTCACGACGTCAGCAATCCAGGAATAACGACGATATACTGACGTGGGTCTGACGTCACTACACCATGCCACGTCTGAGTTGACACTTGTATCAGCTGAGCGAGAGACCGTGATCACACACATCTCCACCCTTCCACACCTCAAGTCCACTCCTCACTACATCACTCCTAAGTTAATCGTCTATTACTTTTGTATTTAAGTCACACAGTTGAGTCATACACCTGAGTCACCCACCAATCACACACCTATCACACACCTGTCACATACCTTACCCAGGAACACAACACACAACACCTAACCCAGAAACACGACACAACACAACACAACACAACACACGCCTTCCAGGAACACAGCACAACATAACGCCAAACACAATACCTTACCCAGGAACACAACACAACATAACACATCTTACCCAGGAACACAACACAACATAACACATCTTACCCAGGACCATAATACAACACAACACACCTCGCCCAGGAACACAACACAACACGTAATACCTTACCCAGGAACACAACACAACACACAATACCTTACCGCGAACATAACACCATACACAACACCTTACCAGGAACACAACAAAACACGCAATACCTTACCTAATCACACAAAACAACACAACATGCAACACCTTACCCTGGAACATAACATAACACAACACAACAAAACACACCTCACCCAAAAACACATCACAACCCGTTACGACAAAACTCATCACAACACAAAACAATACACACAACAGAACTCACACAGAGACAAAACACAACACAACACACACACAACACAACAACACACTCAGGTACACAACGGAGACGCCAACAAGTTAATTTATTTTCGCTGACAAAAACCAAACGCTGACTAAATTGGCCGGCTCATGCTTGCCTTTGTATAATGGTTGCCCCTCGTGTACGAGGATGGTCGGCCCTTTGGTCCACCTAGGCGTGATTTTCTTAGGTGTAGAAACTGTCGCCAACACAACAACCACACATTGAGTTAGCGAGTACTGGGTAACCATTACCCCGGATCACGATCCTCAAATCGATTAACATCCAGGTTCCCAATTACTGCCGAGTAGACAGAGGCAAATAGCGTAAAGAAACTTGCCCATAGTTCATCCTACCCGGGGATCGGACCCGGGTCCACTCGTTTGTGAGGCGAGCTTGCTGACCATTACACCACATGTCGCCATTGCCTTGCCTTTGTATACTGTACATTAAACTAACAATATACTGTACTCTGCCTCCAGCTAAACCCACATGTCCTCTATGTACAGTGTTTCTCCTCGTCACCATTGTTACCGAGTAGCTTTGTTTTGGAGAGAGAGAGAGAGAGAGAGAGAGAGAGAGAGAGAGCAGTCAAAGGTCGTAAATTAACTTTTAACCTACAACTAAGAAAATAAAAATGGGACGGAGATATTCTGAGCCAAGGTGTAGCCGGTGGCGATGTTAACTTATCTTTACCTGACAGCTTTTAACATCATGTTATATGTGGCTCTGTTACCTGCGTGTTGGGTGTATGTTGTTTGGTCACAAACATGACAAATTTACACCCACAAACTCTCGTGCTTCCGTGAACTGTGTACGTTAGATTAGGTTAGGTTATATTAAGTTAGGTGGTCTATATTAGGTTAAGTTGGGATGAGTTAGATTGAATTACATTAATTTGGGTTACTTTAGATTAGGCCAGGTTAGTCTGGGATAGGTCTGGTTAGGTTAAGTCAGACTGTGTTTACGTTAGATTAAATAAAGTTTGTATAATTCCAATACACAGGAACATATTCAATAAGAGGATCATTAACGTGCCTCAGGAGCCACTTGATCACTTGCGTGTACCTGCACGGTGGTAGAAGCGGTACCGTTCTCGCCTCGCAAGCGAGATGTCACGGGTTCGATTCCCGGGACGGTGTAGTTGTTTGGACTTACTTCCTAGCCCCCATTAGTCCCTGTTCACCTAGCAGTAAAGTAAGTACCTGTTGTAAGTCGAAAGTTGCGAATTCGTATTCAAGGAGTTGATGGAGTTTCCAATAACTTGATGACATAAACCACTGACTCTTTAGGCTTTTACTCCCTTGACCCTTCGTGCTTCTACACCCTTAACTCATGAGACATAAAGGCAAGCATGAACTTAGCATGCTTCCCTGTTGGGCGCTGTAAACGATTCTGCGCTTCACCTTACACAAGGATGTAGGGGGGTGCCCAATAAATAAATAAAAAATAATAATAATAATAATAAATGCAAAGAAATACAAGAATGAAAAAATCAAGTGAGAAACGCTATATGTATGTTGTGTTGTCATGTAAGAGAAACAATTGAGACCCTACAATTGTGTGTAAATGTGACAGAAAAACAGATCAGCAACCTGGGACTTGGTCACAATTTTCGTGATGCCATATGGGAGCAGGATCTACCATTAGACAATCCATTATGCTTCCAATATCTTCCCAAGCGGTAGTACCTCCCTGTTTGGTAGCTGCCTACTACCTACTACCTAGAGTCGAGCATACTGATAATGGCCTTGTGGCGTTAGTCACTCAGTTTGGTGCAACTTCTTTGCAGATTATTTTTTAAGGATCACCACCACGACCGAAGGTATAATTCGTCGCTCTTCAAGACAGCTGGTGGTGATGGTGGGGAGTCGGGAGGTTTCAAGACAATCACCACCGCGTCTTTCATTTTAACTCTGTCTTGTAAGAACTTATTACATTAACTCAATGTGATTTTTTTTAATTTACCATTTAATAGTGGCATTATTATCTTATTAGGGTAGGTAATTGTTGTATGGTATCTTCACTGTCGTCTACTACAACCTCATGAGAGTAAAATCCAGAACTAATTTTACTCAGACTAGAGGTTATGCAGTACCATCGTTTGATGGTTAGGTATCTTAAGAACAGGTGAAACACTCTCACTTTCCCATGGGCAAGTCAGCTAACAAAAGGTAAGGCAATTATCGCCTCAGTTTTTTTTTCTAATAAGCAGTGTTCAATAGTTAATGTCTTTCCACACACACACACACACACACACACACACACACACACACAGACACACACACACACAGCACCACGATTATCACGTGATGTGTCGCT